AAGCAATGTTAATTCCAATTGCAATTGTAATCATTTCAGGCTACTTCTAACAATTGTCTGCAGCATTTTGACACTTCAGTGGATTTTGCTCCATAGCTTCATACCCTAGGTCTTTCCTGGAAGATCCATACACATACATTGCACTCTATCAAATCCTTTCCAAAATCAAGAGCTAGGAATTTTGAGCAACATACTAAAATGTGGTTATTTGGATAATAGTTGACTAAATGACTAGATTAAAGGCTGCTAATATTTTCATTACAAACACAAAAAGAGAAAAGGTTAATATAATAAATCTATATTTAACTCCTGAAGTTTTGTAGTGACCAATTGTATCTCAATGTTGTCAGGATGTTTAGAGTTTTTGTTTTGTTTCATTGTGTTTAATGCAGATCTGTAATCATGTAAGTCAACTCCTTATTCATGATTTACTTATGTGTGAAGCCCCCCGTATTGTTTATGTTGCCCAAACATGGCTGGGAGAGACAGCTGAGACATGATGAAACCATCTGGCCACAGATGGGTCCTCAGTGAAGCATGAATCAGTATTGGTTTGGTGATCTATGCTTACTGCCTCCTGTTAAACTTTCAGAGACTCAACTCATAAATCACCTGGCAATGACTGCATCCACTTACATATAAATAACAGGCTGAAGTGAATTGAACCTTTTTTTTGCTAGTGATCATGACTCACCTGTAAGAGTGATTGTATTACAGTTTTATTGACTATTTAGCTCATAGTAGAGTCTGTTTAGTTTATCACCATTTAGGTACAATAGTCTCTTTTTTTCTTTTTCTGACTTAAACAGCAGACATTTATTTTTCACAGTTCTGGAGGCTGGGGGTCTGAGATCAGGGTACCAGCATGGATGAGTTCTGGTGAGAGCTCTCTTCCTGGCTTGTGGATGGCTGCCTGCTTGCTGTATCCTCACATAGTGGAGAGAGAGCTACAGTAGTCTTGGTAGCTCATGTTTATAGGCTAAGATAATTATTAACTTTTCCAAGATCCTGTAGTTTGAAAATTTTCTACACATCTGTTATGAATTTGACAGGTAAGCTTGGAATCTCAAGAACATAAAACCTGAAGTTGTAGCCTGAAAAAAAAATTCATTTAGAATTTTTAAAGAAAAGTCTAGTGACCAATATTTACTTGGAAGGCTGATAGAACTGCAAAATGTTTTAGAAGTATGCGTAGTAGAAATAATCATCTAAAATACAAAACAATGCAAAAGATGTGTGAATAGTTGAAATAATTAGGTAAAAACTCCAAACAAAACTCAAACTTTCATGGTGCCTCCTAGCAATTAAATTTAATTCAGAACCACTGCCTAATATCATTGGGTATAAAGTCTCACAACTTTATGAGTCCAATGTGATATTCAAACTGGTTCAAATTGCTGATGTAAATGTATGCATGCCTTGTCCTTTACAACCTAAGCAGGAAATATAGTTAAATGTTAATGGATATGCAAATCAGTAAACTAATAATTGAAAAAAGTTTGACAGGTCTGCATATTTGTAATTCCTTACATTTTTCCAAATCAGCAAAAATAAGATTAACTACTAACTTTTATACGTCCCTCGTCACTTTTAAATATATTAGTTATTTCATAAATTCCCTGTGCTGTCTCATCTGCATTGTTATCATAGCATCCAGTTCTCACCACCTGCCCACAGCCACAGGGGAAGGGCCTATCTTTGATTTGTGCTGATACGTCATTGTAGATGATCATGGGACAGCTATCCTGCAGTCAAGGAGATATAAATGTCAGTGGAGAAATAAAGTATACATGCAAAATAGTTTAAAAACATGTTTAATGTCTTCCTCTGTGGAAGCGTCCTTCATGACTCAGTCTCATTTTATTCTGCTTCTAGGGTTTACTATGCATAGGTCTACCCATGCCATATAGAAATAAATGTGAAGAATTGGGGTCATTTCATTAATTTATACATTAAGCAAATGTTGATCACTTTCTATATGCAGACATAGCTCTAGGTCAGTGGTTCTCAACCTTCCTAATGCTGCGATCCTTTAATACAGTTCCTCATGTGAAAGGATCGTTCGACCCCCAAAGGGGTCGCGACCCACAGGTTGAAAACCACTGCTCTAGATGCTAGCAAACCAACAGTGAAAAGAAGAACCAAAATAACTTCCTGTCCTTCTGGAGCTTATTGTCTAGATATTGTTTTCTCTCTTGGTTTTCAGTGGCATGGTCTTATTTCTTGACATCTTCGTAATGTTTGAATGAATGTTGGATGTTATATAAAATATATAAAGAGGATCTAAGTTATACTTTATTCTTTCAGAAAAGATTCACTCCTTCCTCTGTTAAGTAGAAGGACTAGAGCCTGATCACCTTAATCCAGGCATTGAATGGACTGGCAAGGACTGATTCCCAGTTTCGTCAAGGACCATCTGTAGTTTTCTCCCGCCCTCCATGGCTCTGTGTATTCTCCTAGGCCATTCCATCTGGCAGGTTCTGAACAATAGCAATCTCTTGTTATTGAGGAACTTGAGGAAGGGGGAACTTGGGGAACTTGCCAGACCTCTGCTATGCTCTTCAGGGACTTTCTGCTGAGTGTCTAGCTTACCCCTGAACAAATTCATAATTTAGCAAAAGTCTTGAAAGGAAAACCAGGTGTGTATCATGCTCCTTTCCGGGTCTGTACTTTCTCAGGAGGATCTTGGCTCCTTAAGTTTCTCTGTCTCTCCAATCCACCAAGACTGCCCTCTGTCCAGGCCAAGTCCAGAATCAGCAAATGTCCCCTCAGGAAATACAGCTCACCTTTTCATGATTCTTTTCAATCTGGTATCTCGGTTTTTCTAATCCTCATTGCTTCATCAGCTCTCATATGTCTTTAAGCAGAGTTTGGGGGTAATTTTATTTAGTTTTCTTAGCGTTTTTTTTTGGGGGGGGGGCTAGATCACTGATATGTTGCAAGTTTGTCTCATTTTTATTTTTAGATACTGAATAAAAGAATGATACCTTCTTTTATACACATCTATTCAACCACAATGAATGTGCCCTGACATTTCTACCCTAGCCCATTGCCTTCTAGAACTAATTGGCAAAGTAGACAAGTAGGGGGGTGGCATTGAGCATATTCTTCAAAATAGGTGTCATCAGAAGAGCTGGACAGTTCCCCGAGCTAATACTCCTGAGTACACTGAGTTCGCTGCCCCAGGACTGTTAGCAGCAGTGGTACTGAGGGGAGTAACACCAAACTGTCCAAGTTAACGTGGGGGCTTTCACGTAGAGGCTGCTTGATTAGGGAACTCAGTGGGAGTCCGAGACTTGGTGGTAGCTCTGGGGAGGTGCAGCTTCTGGATGCTCTTCTGACTTCTTATCAATTCTTCTCAAAGGAAATAAGTCATGCCTTCTAAAATACTGGTAAACAGAGCAGTTATCCTTTGTGGTTTTATTTTTATTTTTATCTCTCCCTAGCACTTGTAGGAAGAAGGTATGGCATAGTGGTTAAGTGACTAGATTTGGAAGTCAGTCAAATTTAGATTCAAAACTTGTCCATTTACTAAATGCTTGACCTTGAAAAAGTTACAAAAACTCTCTAAAGCCTCAATTCCATGTCGATGAAACAGGAATAATAATACATGTCATTGTGCTGACATGTGGAGACACAGTATTTAAAGTGCTAATAACGATCTCTGGCACAGGGGAAGCATGCACTTTATGGCAGCGATAAAGTTTTTGGCTTCTATGGAAAGCCATGGAGTTAGACATGAGGAATTTTGAGGTGAGACTTTAAGAGATTTATGCAGACCCTCCAAGGCAGGTGAATGAAGCATATTGAAAGAGAGTTGTTTTTTTAAAGTTCACAAGTTTGCTTTTGTTATTAAATAAAACTATTTCAATTATCTGTTTATTTTATGGATTACAAAAACTATCTGAAATAACCCCAGAAAAAAAGTGACTGACCTGGAGATGGTTTCCCTCTCAATGGCTTCAAAATATGTGTTTCTTTATACTTTTAGTAGATAAATGACAAACATGTCATTCTTTACTATGTGTTGTTTTAAAGTTAATCTAAGAAGAATCAGGTTCAACTAGTACTCTAAACTGTACAGGTATTATCATATAAGAAAAGGAACACAATTTAAAGTAAAAAAAAAAAATCTGAGAGGAACAAACTTAGAGAGAGAATGATATTTAGTTCCTAACTACCATTCATTAGTTATGTGGTATTGATTAGGCAAGTTAACTGATCTCTCTGAGTCACAGTTTTCTGAGAAATTAATCAACGGAAAAATAATACTTAGGATTTTCTTGACTATCAAAGGAGAAAATGAAAATGCGAAGGCAACAATAAGCATGGTCTCATTACGTGTACCCTTGAACCTCTCCTTGACCTGTGAAGAGTATGAATTGGTGTTAGCAAGCAAATAAGAGTTAGCTAAACAGAAGGAGTGATGACATTAAATCTTCTGGCTAGTATTACTTAAGTAATAATTTAAAGTAGATATCTTTGAAGCACATTTTACATTGCTTTATCGTGTGGAAATTTCCCCCAAATCTTGACATCATTCTGAACATTTTTCAGGTATTATATCTGAAGCCTCATCCCAGCACCTCTCCAATAGTCCTGACTTGACAGACTGAAGGAAAGTGAGCTCTTCTCTTTCCTTTCAAGTTACTCTAATTCGACAGTTGTTTCTGCTCTCCTCATGCTTGAGTGAGCATGAAATGATGTCTTTGCTGAGTATTTCTGTTTGATTTTCCAAAAGCTGTTGTCAGTTTTACAGCTCAAAATGGAATGCAGATGGTAATTGGCATAGTCACAGTCTTTCAAGCCTAATTGGAACTGACCCACACACCTCAGAGCCCATCCTAGCCTCTCCGGTTTGTAAGTGCATGCGGAGAGAGGAAGCAGGAAAGATTACCGAGAGAGGGAAAGTCTCTTTGCATGTTGCTGAGCCAGGCGGCTTTGACTGTATGGCTCTCTGAGTCTGGACAATGTCTTGTGTGTTTGTTTCCACAGAGCATATATCATTACAGACTATATGGGCATCCGAAATGAGAGTTTCATGAAGGTAGCTGCTGTGGGGACCTGGATGGGGGACTTTGTCACAGCTTGGATGGTAAGAAATTTTAATTTCACCCATTTCATAGCCGATAGAAGACATGTTCACATGTGGGATAGACATCACTTTTGATGGTTTAGAGAACATAGTTACCTCTGTTTTGAGTGAAACACATTCATGGGTATAGGTAAGTCCAGATAATATGTAATCTCTGTTTACAATAGGGAAAAAATACATTTGTAATATTGATGGCTATTTCCTGGGCTACATGTATATACAAACATATACACATTCATGAAATTAATAGAAAGTTATTACCTGTGAAATTATGTTTGTTATTGTTTTTACCATGTGCAAATTTTAGGTAAGGAATGTTGTCTGGCCTGTCTCAAAAAATCACATTAAATATTCTTTATGGACTTTTAAAATAATTTTTCATATTTGTTTTGCTCATCGAACCTGAATTAAGAGTAGTAACTAAGAGTTCTGAGAGTTGTATATTTTAATCTTTCATGTATTATTAGTCTTTATTATTATATGCCTGCAACAAATACACAAATTATATCTCATGCTGAGCTCATCTGTTAGGAAAGTAGCTTCTGTTTTTAACCATTTAGTATGTACTAAAAGGCTCTATGACCTATATGTTTATGAGAGAATCTTGAAGTGCAAAGAGCATAACTCTCATAAATATGGGACACTTTAACATTCATTGACACCTTTTATAAGTATAGTTAATCCTAATTAGCTTTATTCATCTATCACTTGACAATGAGCCCTACCAAAGGAATGATGATACCCAACATAAACAAGAATTGGGATGGATGTGCCCCTACAGAAGTGTTCCAGGGACCACAGGTAGATTGTCATAACCATTACTGCGTTTCCATTAATAGCTTTGTTTCTTACCTAGAGGAAGGTTTTCAGGGAACAAGAAACAGTGATATTTTAACTGCTGCTATTGTGATCATCCTGCAAGAGTATTAAGTAACCATGAAAGGGTTTGTATAGCCTGTTTTTAAGCCTCCTCCCATCTCTGTTCAATTATAGAATGTTAACAGAACAAATTACCAGATGTATCCCATTCCATTAACTTTAAAATCTAAATTTGAGAAGTGATTTATTTTATTTGCACTCACTAGAAATTGTAATTAGAATAAACCAACCATTGAGACCAGGCTGATGCATGTAAAAAATTTCTATTTCCATTGGAAAAAATTATTTAGAAAGAACTATGTGAACTTTAAATGTACACTTTCTGTGGAATTTGAGGTGATGTCTTTTGAAAAATCTCTGCATTAATTGTGGATTTTGACTCCATTCTGTAGTGAATCTGTTCACTAAAATGGAGAATTGGATCGGAAATGCAGATCCTCAGACCTTGCTACCAGTGGTTTGACCTTCCACAAGCAATACACAATTCTCTGAGCCTTGGTGCATACGTTTCTTAAAAGGGATGAATAATTTCTACCTGTGTTACAGGTTTCCTGTAAAGATTAAATATGTGGCCCTGTGATAAGATTTAAAATGCTGAAGTGGGCCCTGGCTTGTGTTGCTCAATGGCTAGAGCGTCAGCCAGTGCACTGAAGGGTCATGGGTTTGATTTGCAGTCAAGGGCATGTACCTAGGTTGCAGGTTCAATTCCTGGTCCTGGGAGCACATGCAAGAGTCAATCAATCAATGTGTCTCTCTCACATTGATGTTTCTCTCTTTCTCCCTCCCTCCCTTCCACTCTCTCTAAAAATCAATGAAAAAAATATCCTTGGGTGATGATTAACAAACAAACAAACAAACAAACAAACAAACACAACAAACATGTGGAAGTGGAATGCAGGCCTAGTGCTTTATTATTGTTATTCATGTTGTGGGCTCCCATCCCCTCACTGGGCCCAGTCCTTGAAGTGATTGGCAAGGGTGGCTCATTGACCCAAGATTCTTCCATGGAACCCCAGGATCATGAGGTTCCAGAGCATCTGTAGTTTCCTCCCAATGGCCAATGTGTGGATAGACTAAGACAGTATGATACGTTGCTTTCTCATAAAATTAGGGGAGAAGCAACAGACCAACAAGACCTAGAAGCTTGCTTTGCAATTTTCAGGCAAAAGTCAGCCATAAATCATTTCCTTTCCCGTTGTTGTTTGTGACCCACTTTCATCCAACTCCTCCCTAGACTTTCCTTCAAGATAGTGTTTCCTACATCATATATGACTCTGCCTCTATTTACTGGTTAGTTTTTATCTGGATTTATTTCTTTTGAGCAATAAGGTGGGGTCCAGTTCCTAAGGCAGCTTGGGGAATCAAATGCATGGTGCAGCTTTATCCAAAGACCCTGAATCTTCTGGGTTGTATTTCTACTGTGCACTTACCTGCCTTACTCTTGTGGTTTAGGGAAATAGAAATATTTTCAGACTTCAGCCTATGGCCTTTCTTTTTCTCCTTGGTCGGGTTAACCTTCATAGTTTCTCCTAAATTTACTACTGTAATGTCTTCTGCTTCTACTATCCAACCTGGTAATGTTTTACCTCTCCCTATACCATAGATTACTACTCTAATTATGCTGGGGTCCAACCCCAGCAGGTCCAGGGGTCCCCAAAGGTGTGGACGGAGTCTGCGAAGAAGGAATGACACTGAGACAGCGTTCAGTTGATCAGCAGCCTTGCCAGGATCTCTAGCCACAATCTCCAGCCAAGTTCTGTGTCCGTGTTCTCTTGCTAGGTTCTCCAGCCACATTCTCCAGGTTCTCCAGCCAGGTTCTGTCTGTATTTATACCAGTTGATTCCAATCCTATCAATCTCTATTCCAAAGATTAGTGCATTTCTTATCTCCATTCCAGGGATTATGTAGTTTAAGCATGATTGTTCGTTGTTAAAGTGATTAACTACGCACCTGGCACTTAGTTAAGGGGTTTTATTCCCTCCCTAACTTCAGGGGAAAATCTCTACCTCGGGAAACAACCTTTCTCGGAGAGGTGACCTTGGTTAAAACACATAGTGCCAAGAAGGTGAGCAAACATATTAAGAACAGTATGCCATATATGCCAGGTCCCTTGAAACAGGAAGGATGGACCGCTCCCAGCATAATTATACTTCCCATATCACAGAAGTCAGATTGGATTGAGAGTCAAGAAAACTAGGTTTTAGGTTTAACTAAGTAATGTGATCTTAAGTCACCTTACTTCCTGGGGCCTCTCATCGTTTCCTTTCTATAAACTGGGTAGAATCCAAAGTCCCTTTCTGCTCATGTTATATGAAATATTCACCTTTCCTCATTAGCCACAGTGGTAGGGATGGCAAAAGAAACACAATGCGCTCCTGATTTGCAAGTCCAGTCACACAGGAAGGATTCCCAGAGCACATCATTCTATTCCCATTTCTGTTCACTGGCTAGACAGAAGGTTTCTATATAAATATTTATATGTCCACATATGTGTGCATTGATAACATTTTAAAAAATAATAGTTTTCCTCCCAAGTGGAGTTTAGGGTAGCTTTGACCTTCATTTGTCTGCAGAATTCTCATCATGAAATGAATATCAATGATGAAGGTGACTGTCATGGCAAAACAAGTGACTGTTTTCATTTCTAATAAAAGTGTACCTTTTAATGCATTTCTAAAGTAAGGATTTTTATTTTATGGACAAAATCCATATCTTTCCCATGGTTTTAAAAGGTACACCAGGCTATATGATTGGCTCACAGGCAGGGAATTATTAATCAATCTTACGGATATCTTTGGTCCTCACCCAACTTAGCATCAGGCTCTACTGGATTCCATTCACTGGGCAGTCCTGACTTTTTCTGGCTCTGTGGTGCACCTCGTGTCATTTTTGTTAAGTTGGTTAAAAAAAAAATAACATAAAGGAAATAAAGTGATACCTGGTGTAATTCATCCTTGAGCTGGTCCACGGTAGGAGCAGAGATGAACTGTCATAAAGATAAGCATGAATCAGAAACACTGGGTGTCTCATATGCCACCATTGCCTCATAGCCACACATTTGCCCAGGCTCTGCGCCACTGAGCAAGGAGCGGAGTGGGGCTGGCCGGTCCCACAGCACGCTGCTCCAGTTTTACCGTCCCTCCTTCAGAAGACAGAGGTCACAGCTTCTGCTTCTGCCTAAGGTGGCAGGGGGTTCTGAGGACATCGAGATGGCACTTGCTCCTGCTCCTCGTTTATTAGCACTTCCTATCTATCCATCCTACCATACCTTTTCCCAGCCCCTTATTCCCCTGTTCTAGTGTCTTTCCTCTTGTGGCAGGTAATGGTGTATGGCTCATGATAGTGACAGGGACGTCAGACTCCAGGTCTGAAGTTAACTCCAGGTTGGGAGAAGGGCTGTGCAGGGAAAGGTACAAATAAGGTGAAGTTGAACCATGACCTAAAGAAGGCAGTTCTCATGGTAAACACTAGAGTAGTTAATGAGCATCTTTCATCATAACACTAGGTGTGTATGAACTTGTCTGGCCTTGACCTATTGTCCCCAGGATGGTCTGTGGACATTTGTATACATATTACCACTACTAGCAAAGCTTCCACTATGAAGCTAGTCACACACACACACACACACACACACACACACACACACACACACCCCGATTGCGTTGTTTGCCAATTGACTCTACCTTATTTCATGTTTGTATAGTCACTATTTCTTTTTAAATTGTGCGCAGTTTTAATAGACTTTGTTTTTCTTCTTGAAACTCAGAGTTCCACTAGAACCGGAGAAACTGAGTCAATACCTTCATGTGGAAATGCCTTTAGGTAGATAAAACATAGCCTTTGTAGCTGGGTTATAACAAGAAATAAAATTTTTAAATTTGCTTTATTATTTCTCTCTATTGAAGCCTTTTCAAGAATATGAGTTTAGAAAAAAAATTTTAATATTTTTTATTGATTTCAGAGAGGAAGGGAGAGGGAGAGAGAGAGAGAAAAACATCAGTGATGAAAGAAAGTTATTGATTGGCTGCCTCCGGCAAAACTTCCCACTGGGGATTCAGCCCACAATCTGTGAATGTGCCCTGATCAGTAATCAAACTGTGACCTCCTGGTTTGTAAGTCGA